AGAACTTAATATACTTGAGCTAGAACAGTATAAGCTAAGTCTGATTCGTGATGGTGGGATCACAGCTGACTCGGTTTGGAATGTTGCTCCTGTGTTCTCAGAGTTGTCGTCACGGATTGATGTGGCTGACAATTTGAGTTTTGTTCCAATGTTTTGTGAGAACGATCCAGACACTTTCTTTTCATTGTTTGAGCGTGTAGCAGACAGAAGGAATTGGCCTGATTCACAGTGTACACTGTTGTTGCAATGTGTGTTAACCGGTAAGGCTCAAGAAGCTTACTGTTCCCTTCCGGTAAGTGAAAGCCAAAGTTATTCTTCAGTTAAAGCTGCTGTTTTGAAAGCATATGAGTTGGTACCTGAAGCTTATAGACAAAGGTTCAGAACTTGGGAAAAGTCAGGTAAGCAGACGCACATGGTGTTTGCCAGGGAGTTGGTAACTCACTTTAATCGGTGGAGTATGGCTCTTGAAATTAAGACATTTGACTTTAATGATTTTGGAACAGTTTAAAATGTCTCTGATGAGCAATGTTGCCACCTACATTAATGAGAGGAAGGTTAAAATGGCTGCAGAGGCTGCTGCACTTGCAGACGAGTGTGACACTGAGTGTGACAAAGTTGCCTGTGACACTGGTGTCAAGGTGAATTCTTGGAAGTGTCTGGATGACTGGACTGGTAGGTCCGAACAGTTTTTGGGAGAACAGTCTGCTGCTGATGTGTGTAACTACTGTAAGGAAAAAGGGCACTGGAAAGCCGAATGTCCTGCTATAAGAGCTAAGGTTAAGCATAATGTGCATGTGATATCTACTGCTCTGGCTGCGTCCATTCAAACTGTGCCAGGTTCTGCTTTATCTTGTGGCCAGGTAGATGTGAAGGCTAAGCTTTCAGATTACCTACCATTTGTATCAAATGGCTTTGTCATTGATGGGGAATTCTGTAAGGGTGCCAGTTAAGATTTTGAGGGATACTGGTTCCTTGGATTCATTTGTTTTGGCCTCAACATTGCCGATCTCTCAGGAAAGTGATACTGGGGAGTTTGTCTCGGTCCGTGGTATGGGTTTGCAGGTGTTCCCAGGTCGTCTGCATAAATTGTTGCTGGACTGATTTCGTCAAGGGTGAGGTTAAGATGGCTGTGCGCCCTGCGCTGCCGATTAAGGGAAAAAGTGTCATTCTAGGGAATGATCTGGCTGGTAGTCGCGTTTGGGATTCCTTCCTTGTTTGTAACCTCACCCTCTCTTTCAGAACCATCTGGATGTGTTCAGTCATACCCCATGTTGTCCACAGCTACTGGTGGTGAGTGGTCTACAACCAGAGCAGCACAAACATCTGAGTTCCATAAACCTCACAAGAAATTGAAACACTGGTACAAGTCTGAACGTCGCAAGATTCCTCCACAAGACCAAAATGAAACACAGGCTATTGTGAAGCCTTGTTATGCACACGGGTTTGTTAGCAAAGTTGTGCACTAGTGCCAGTATTTGGGGTCTGCCGCTGGGTTTAGAGCCTCATGCTTTTAATGTGTTTGTGTTTCCAACCTGTTGGTCTTCCATTTCCTCTTAGCTTCCCTTCAAGCTCTTAAAGTTGCTTCTCCAGTTGAGGGCGGTGCGGACTTGCCTTGGAGAGACCAATGGGAATGGTATCAGTTTCAGTATTTTTGATAAGGGCAAAATTTGTTAAATGTTTATAGTTAAATTGGTGTTTTCCGGCCGGGGTTCCGGTGGGACCCCGTTTTTTTTATGGGGGGGGTGACGGCCCCTCTGCAGGGTTCATACAGCTGTTGGTGTGCTTTCAGGTCTCCAGGGCTGCAGACCTGGAGACCGGGTAATCAGTGGCATGGCCCAGTGTGCCCCATGCATATAAGCCAGAGCAGCACTCAGTCTTGTTGGACCTCCTCATCTCATGGCTACCTTTGTTTGTTTGGTTTCTTGTCTTTGTTTTTACAGCACAACATCCATGCAGCACATATTCACTCATCCACTCCCTAAACTACTGACTTTACAGATTCTTCCTACTCATTGGTTTCGCTTACTTTCTTAATAAATTACTTTGTTATTTTGTCTACCCATGTGTCTCCCGTTTTTGTCCAGTCCATGAGCCAGGCTGTGACATGACAAACAACCCTTATGCTCATATTTATGCCTACCGGCAATTTAGAGTGACTAATTAACCCGCATGTCTTTGGACTATGGGACGAAGCCGGACACAACCGCAGAAAAGTCACGTGGACACGGGGAGAACATGCAAACTCAAAACAGCATACTGTACACACACTTAAACCCTGCTTAGAATTTGTATGCAGTATGGAATTGGGACCTGGCCTGTTTTATAAACTATACTGTGTATTTTAAATGTTGTGAGGGACTTTATTACTCAAACAATATTGTAAACTGCACTCGTTAAAAAGTTAATGTGTGTTCTTTTTGAGTTTCTGAATGTCTTTGGAGGTTCATCCACTGAGACATTTCTCTGGATACAGCATTCTTTTGCAGCTGACAGGAGTATTTCATACCTACACCTGTAACACTGTATATGCATTAGACACCCTTTCCTGACACAATCCATACATATATTTTGACACAGGATGATAAATCTGCTGCATTTCGAGATTGTCACAGAATTCTGTTGCAGCTTCGCTACAGAAATGTTAAAAACAAGTGTTCTTTCAACATGAAAATTTGATTTCCAGTTCACCCCTTTGAAGAATGTAAAGACATTTTGGTCCCATTTGATCCCAGAAAGCCAACAGAAGAAACTTGCACTGCCTTTGATTTTGAATCAATATGTAGTGTCAGAAATGTCAAACTGTATGATTTTCAGTGAAATAACAAGTGTGGTACTATAAATGGGTACAAAGAAATCAGAGGCTGAAACGAAAGCTTCAACCCAAGATTAATGTTGTTGAAAACAGTCAATGCTGCCCCACAGGTCTTCACAAGGACTTTATTAAACGGGTATAGTGCAGCATAGTATTTTATTTTAATACCGTTACTGGGACAAATGCCAGTTTACACCATGGAAAAGGCTTAACAGAAGGTCGGGAGCCATATCCTTTATTTATAGAGTAGGTTTACAAGCAAGGTCAATATCCCCAATTTTATAGACACATGATGAATTTGCGCGGGGGAGGCAGAAGTGGCCAGAAGAAAACGGTTACTGCAAGTTTAAATAAACACAGCCATGCCAGCAGCTCTGTAAGACCAGAGGTGGAAAGTAACGAATTACAGTTACTCGTGTTACTGTAATTGAGTGTGTACTTTTTTAGTTTTTATAATCTGTAATTTTACTTTTTACTTAAGTATGTTTTGAAGTATTGTTCTTTGCTACATTTTAAATGTAAAAAGCCTGTTTGTGCGTGGCTCAAAGAAAGGACTGACTATGACTCTTGCTGCGGAGAGTCACATGGATCATGCGTAACACAGGAGCATCAGACTTCATCTAGCCAGAGGAAACGATCACAGACCGTCCGCAGCAAGAGGTAGTGGACAGGGCCAGGGAGAGGACGTCGCGGAGGGGGCAGTCGCGCTGTGGACGGTGATTGTACCCTCCCTCTGAAGTTCGACACTTCTGTTTTACGCATTATCCATGATTATACGGAAGATTTAGAAACGAATGGCAAAAATAGCATGACATGTCTTTTTAAGAAGAGCCAAGCTCCCCTGTAGTTCGCACCCTGCTTGTATCAAGAGTAGTTGGTAAAAGAAGTTTTTAATAGTTTAATAAGAGGCTTTGCTCAAATTAGCCAAAAGACATCGGTGCATTAGCAACCTGCTGGTAACTACTTAATTATGCTTAGACCTATGTTAATACAAAATGTATTATGCTCTCGCCTATAAAGTCCTATTAAAATGACCACCTGTTAGAATGTAACCTAAACGGGGATATGACTTCATATACAGTCCAGTGTTTCCCATTTTCCCAGCCCAGTGTGGCCCTTCAGTCTAATCTGTTTCACCACAATTTCATTATGAAGCAAAAACATTCACAAAACTTCTCATAATAATATAAAAGGTCTCTAACATTGTTTTGTGCCATTTCTTTGTTAAAGTATCTGTCAAACAAACTAAAATGTGCCTTTGTGCCCCTTGTGTGCAAAAAACTGCGATTTAATTAAATAAGTATAGTAAATATAAAATAGCATAGTAAAATTAAGTTATTTTATGAGGTTAAAAAAGTAACGTTTACTCTGAGTAAATTTTAAATTAGATTTTTACACAAGTTACTTCACTTGTACTTAATTAAAAATTCATCATTGTAAAAGTACTTTTACTTAGGTACAATAATCCTACTTCCTGTAAGGCTGGACTTATGCACAGCTTCTAGTGTCTTGCGCTAACATGGATGATATGTAAGGCTATTGAAATGGTTACAATGTTGGTTCATCTTGGTTTAGCATGTTAGCATGCTAACATTTGCTAATTAGCTTTACATTAAACACAAAGTGCAGCTGAGGCAGTCGGTTTGAAGATATTGGACAAAATGAAAGGTTGACCTGATGATGGTACTAGATAGTCACAAAAGTTATTACAGGTCATCTTCTGGGTACCATGAATGTCTCTACTAAATTACATGAACACCATCAAGAAGATATTTCAGTGAAACGGTGAAAACTTTGACCTCTTTCATATTCATCCTCTTGGTCAGCACAAAATGTAATCACAATCATTCAAATGGTTCTGATATTTCAGTCTGAATCAAAGCTGGTTATGGGAATTGTTTGCAACTTTCTCTAAGGTAAAACATGAACATTGATTCTCAGTTTATGGTTACTATCTTTTAGGTATATTGTGTGGTATCACACTATTGTAAATTAAAAGATTATTTTAATCTAATACTGCAAAGGAATGTATTTGTAATCGATTTTCAAAATCAACAGCTGCCGCCTAATAACATGCAGGTAATTCAGAGTGATTAAATTGGCACCCCCATCGTTTCTCTCCCTCCTTCATCGTCCTCCTCCTCCATCCTCTCTGTAGTGACAGGATTTGTAACGTCAGTCTCGGTGCTGAAGGAAGCGCCGTGCCTGCCTCCTGTGTGTGTGTGTGTGTGTGTGTGTGTGCGTGGTTGGCTGGAGGAGTTACCACGAAGCTCCTGCAGACAGACATTTTCTGATCCACCGTGCTTCCCATAATCTGTCAGATTAAACCAGCCCTCTGGGTGAGACAGACCACTTTTGCGCTCCTGCATCTCAAGCCTCCTCGGGCGCCTAAACATCACCATTTTCTCTGCTTCTTTCAGTCATTATTTATTGAAATCCTCAACCAACGCCGATTTTTCTTCCCTCTTCTTCGTCAGCCGGACCCGCCTGCCGCGGAGAAAGGCGAATTTCTGCGTCTCCGGCTGACAATTTCACGCAAATTTGCCGGCTGGCGGAAAGGGTCAACTACCTGTTAGCTTCTCTCCAGACTGCGGGATTATGCGGGCTCTGCTGCGCATCTGACACCCAGGCAAAGGGACTGAGTGTCGCTTCATTTTCATTTAGCGTATTTGAAATGCTGCATACCTACTGACCTACTTTGTCCAAGTTGGGGGTAAAACCAACGCAGGAGAGGAAGCGGCGCAGGTTCTTTTCATAAGAAGATGGAGATGATGTGGAAACAGTGGTGACCCTGTGGGGAAACTTCCAGTAAAACGCAGGAGAGTTAAGGAGGGGAAAGGAAGAACAGACCGCGTGCTGAAGAGCCAGAGGGGTGCGTGAGTGTGCGCGGAGACAGAGAAGGTTATGACCGCGTCTCCTCACCTGGACCTCGGGCTGCTGCTGCTGCTGCTGCTGCTGGCCTGCTGGCAAACACCGGGGATGGTCGGAGCAAGTAAGTCTGTGTGTGTGTGTTTGTGTTTCACTGTCAATGTTAATACAAAACATATTATGCATGTAATGATGCATGTTTTGTACCTGGTTGTGATGTATTTGTGTGTGTGTGTGTGTGTGTGTGTGTGTGTGTAAAAGGTGCGTTATTGGCATCAAATACAAGCTCTTTCATTCTGAAAGCAAATTCAATAAACCAACTAAAATGACAGAACTAAGCATGAGAGAACATTCAAGATTACATTGTAAAAACACAATATTTATTATGAAATTGCACCATGCTTCTGTGTAAATTTATTTGTCTCTCCAACAACCTCACTCAAAAATAAGGTATAAGCATGCCTGATGGAAAGAGGAATTATCCTTTCTGTGTAAAATTAGCAGCAATAACAGAACAAATAGGCAATAACACCAGTATGATGGTAGGTCAGGTGTTTCTAAGGGGACACTGTGACTTCATCACTTCAAGATACTTGATCTTTCTATGATGAGTGTGTTTTTGTTGTTATTGACCATCTAATTCTTTTTTCTCCAGCAAACAAAATTAGACAATAAAATATACTGCATTTTGGACAAAAAAATCCTAATTTTCAGTGTTCATGGTGCACGTTGCTTGATCTTTTTCTTTGTGTATAGTCATTTTTATTTCTTGGTTTTCATCAGAAAATATGTATAAAATATATATATATAAAGCATAGGCATGAAAAATTACAATGTATATTGTCTCTTGGGGAAAAAAGGACAAAATTATGTTTCTCAGTGCAAACATCTCCTATCTGTGTATTTTTCTTTGCATTGATTAATTTTACCCCAACACCTGCTGTGGTCCAGCCAGTACAAACTCGTCATGTGCAGGCAAACATTGCTCAAAACTAGATAACGCTATTTTAAATTCTAGGAGGGATGCCGACATTTCCAAAGAAACTAAACGTGTCAGGCTGAATCTTGGAGAAACCTGTATAAAACTATAAAAAAACACACCCATGTGTCTTGGGTTTGAGTATTTCCCTCAGTGTAAGCATCATCATACTGTATAGCTTCAATGAAGAGTTAGATTAGCTGATGTATATGTGAGACTCTAAAACGGTGGGGAATAAGATCCTTTTAACAAACTTAAAGCCAAACTTAAAGCCACTTAAAGCAACAAAAGAGTATCTGTATGTTGCACACTGTGTTAAAATAGGAAGGTGCTTCATCCAGGTACATGACAGCAGCACAGCCTTACATTAACGTGTTGCTTCAGCTGTTTGATTTGGGGTGAGTGGGGGGATTCAACTAGACAAACAGCTATTGTAAAACTGTCTACCCCCTAATTGAATGTCTATCAGGGAACTGAAATTTCACAGCAATCTTTGACTTTACTCTCTCTGACCTGTTTAATTAGCTGTAGTAGGGATGCACAGGCACTGAAATCACCCAAACCACAAGTCAGAGTCCTGCTCTCTTTGGCTCTTTACCTTCATACAAGGTTAAAATCAAAGCTGCCTTCGGCAAACAAAACCAAATCGACGTGCTTCCCCTTAGCTGATTACCAAGAGGGAAGTAATCTGCATTTATGAGGCCCTGTATTGATTTGGCCAATGAATTGTGCCTTTTATGTTTCTCCCACATGGCCCTCACCTTCTCCTCTCATGACATAAACATCTCATCTTCACAGGAGCTCATCAACCACGCTGCATGCTGCTGAGGATTTTCATTCATGAAAAACAACCTGTTCAGCATTAGCATCAACATAAATCAGTACAAAATGTTACCGATGACAGGAAGAAAAGATTTATGCACACATAAATAATATCCAATATTTGAGGATGCAAAGATGGAAAATGTGGGTAGTTGAATGTTCAGGTCCATTTAGTAGCTGTTCTGGAGCTTTCGGTTGCACCACAGGTGTTTGCTCCAGTTGTCATGTCAAGATAGTACATTTAAAACGTGTAAAACATACAAGAATAAAAGTTCAGTTTCAACTTTTTAAGCCATTAGATTTAGTCTTTAGGCTCAGAGCATCCATTTAAACACCTAAAATTCTAGCTTTTGTGTGTTTCAGTGGTGTGTTTTTGTTATTTCTTGGGGCATTTTATTCCTCCTTTATATAGCATTAGTGGAAAGAGGACATGAAATGAGAGAGAGAGCTGTAACAAAGACCCGTGGCTGAATTTTGGACCAGTTATGTTGCTGATATTGAATTATATTATATGAGCTTGACCCTGAAGTCACACGTGCCCTTAGTGTTTCTTTTGACAAATCAAAGACTTTTAAAATCTTGGAGTTGAGTGTGTTGAGTGTGTTCAGTCGGTAGGGATTTTCAGTCCCTACCAACTGAAAATTAGGTTTTAGGGCTCAGGCGATGTAAGATGTGCGTCACAACATCTGCACTGGTATTTTCAGGTCAAGAATGAATCTCCATGCTCGAGAAGATACATTTTTGTAAGATCTGTTTGGACTGAGGCCAGACTGAGTTGTGTTTTCTTGTGTTGTATCTCGCTGCTCCCAGATGGAAACCTTGGAAGTGGATGAAAAGCTGTTCAATGTCAGCCTAAAAATCCTACAAGGGTTTTTGGAAAAGAACTCAAAGAATGAAGCTGAACCTTTTGCAGCACGATAGGGATCATAAAAATGCACCAACTGCGGCCACAGGAGTTCTTATTTAAATAGGAGCAAGGTAAAGTGCTTCCTTATTCATGCAGGGAAGAGTCTCAGTCTGCACTGCTCTGCTCATTGTTGGTTGTTATTTATTCTCTTTGCTCACTCTGATCTTCCCTGGTAACCTGACGATTTCAATGATTCCTGTATCTCCTTTTTTTATTCTATCTGGGTTGTTTTAGTTTTGCATCATCACTGCCATGTTGCTGCTCAAACATTCAGCAGAACTCACTTTGATGGGTTCTTGTGAGACGTAACTCTTCCTGACCGGCAGAGGTCTAATTAAAATGCACAGTTAATTGCTGACATTTCCAGTCATTATCCAGTTCAAAAATGCTGTTGCATAATGTGGTCATTAACCAGAAAAGGATTAACAACATTTGGATGACAGAAAGTTGCACAAGAAATACAAATCTTATATATCATATCATGTCTTACTTTTATATTATCATATTCGTGGTTATCTTTCTGAACAGGCCCAGGGGCCAGAGGTATCAGGGACCCCTGGGCCAGAGCTTTTCTAGCCCCTCTGTTTGAAGTGACAGTTAACATTTGTTGAATCAATCAACAATCAAACGACTACAGAGAGAGAGAAAATAAGTATAAACGGACTCAAAACGATTACAGAAAGACCTAAAATGACCACAGAGAGAAACATGCGGCCACTAAGAGATGCAAAATGACTGAAGAGAGAGAGAAAACAACCATAAAGAGGCACACCATGACCACAAAAAGACATCAAATAACAACAGAGACAAAATGACCTAAAAGAGAGATAAAAGGAGGGATTGGGGCCTTTAACATGTCTATGCTTATTGTCTCATTATCCGTCCATGATGATACTGTATCTTAATCATTATGTAAAGGTTGTTACTGTATCTCGAGGTTGCGAGCACAAACACACAGACGTTTGTTCCTTGACCTTATTGTAACCTGAACCCTAATACCAAGTCTTAACCCTCAAAAGTGGGGTCCTCAAATTTTGTCCCCGTAGTGACACGAGTCCCTATCAGTAAGTGTGCATTCAGATTGAAGTCCCCACCGGGTTATAAAAGCCTGAAGCACACACACACAAACAGAGTGGTGGGAAGCCATTAGCCAGATTAGACTGCATGAGTCTATTAGCAAACTGTTACTTTACTGTGATTTACTGTTAGCTCTCGGGGCTGGGTCGTACGTCACAGACTACTCCAGGAGAAATTATTTAAACAACGGCTGTCACGAGGCTTGTTGTTGTTTATGACAGACACAGTCATTGTAGTGTTGAAAGGGGCTTCAGAGAAACAAGAAATGTAAGCTTGGTGGAAGCGTTTATCCGTCATGTATACTACAATATGAGAAGGATCAGACCACTGGGTGCGTGCGTGGTGCGTATGCATCCATGTTTTTCCTGAACTTCTGAGGACCAAATAAGAACAGAAAGATGAGGGAAAACCTCAATACCTTTTGTCATGAATGCTTCTGTGCCCACAATAAAAACGTTCTTAGACTGTTTCTGAAGGAACACAGACTCAAAACAACAGTTTAGGTTCAGCTATAATTTCTCACCAGAGGTCCAGGAGAGCCAGTTTCCAGCAAAGAGCGTATATGAAGTTTAATGCAGATGTATTTATCTGAGCTTTAACTTTTATCTTACACATGTACACATGTGAGTGGTTCACACTGTTTCCATTGCTGCGTAAACCTGTCAACATTTTTTAACTGTAAAAAGTGTAACAAATGTAAATTTTCCCAGTTTAGGGTAAAGAAGAAGAACAGACAGGGATTGGCCACCTGGCAATTCTGGCATATGCCAGAGGGGCCGGACTATTTGTTTTGGGGTGGGCTGGTCAGATTGATATTAATATCAGTGTTTCCCACACATCAGCTCTACTTGGGCAGCCATTGAGGTATTTTAAGGACTGCCCAAAATATTTGGCGACCCATTTAAGCATTTTGCAGAGAAACACTCAGAGAAACGATCCTCACAATATTTCACAAGCACGGACCAGGTAAAGCAACAGTGAACACTTTGGTGCAGGTGCAACTGGGTACAATGTTGGTTTCGGTTTCGATTGGCTTCCTCATTAACAAGCCTCCTCCGCGCACCCACGGGTGAAAACGGTATCGCGGGTGAAAATCGCAAGTGCTGTGTCATTTCGGCCACTTCATAAAACAGCCCACTGCTGATGGAGAAAGTCAAGAGGGCTGACAAATACAGGGAGAGAGAAAAAGAAAGAGGTAGGGCAAGCTGCTGTGTTTGCAGCAGAGGTGTATGCTCCTTGCTTGTGTGGAAATATTAGAAGTGAAGGCAAGGAGAGCAGAATTAAGTAGGCTAGTGAGTAATGTTTTTATTCATGTGTATTCCAATGTTGACAGCAGTGT